CGTCTTTTTAGTGGACTTTAATTATTTGGAGAGTGAGTTGAATAAACATATAGTGAAATATCATTTTTCCAGGCAATCAAATAAAGTTTATGGGAAAACATGAAATGTGGGGGGAAATTAAATATAGTAAACTGAAAAAAATGTAATACATAAGTCACACATTGGATTTTTATGATTCACAAATCTAGTCCAAGAAAAAGAAAAATTGAAATTCAAAGACTTAAAAGCTTGTTTTTGAAAACAGTAAAAATAAGTTCCAGGTGGTGTGGGAACAGGGATAGAGTAGCAACTCACAGCCAAGGTACAACGGGGGACCTGGGTCAATAATTGAAGGATGATGGGTGAGGTTGTAGGCAGAGGGAAACTTTAGATACAGAACGTTTCACATTGCTTACCTAAGGAATTTCTACAAAAGTAATAAACTGGATATGCACATATCACTAGCAGATAAAATGTATAGAAACAGCGCGTCACATAAAGTTTTCCTTCGGATGATTTTTTCCAAAGTAACACATGACTAGTGTGGCTTAGCCATTGATGAATTCAATAAAGGGGACAGATCATTAGCTCCTAAAGCTAATTATTTTGTTTTTGTAAAAACCCTCCAATATGCCAGATGGTTCATTAAATTTTTTTATTATTTAAAATGATTTATAAAGCTAAATGCTCAAATTTTTTTTGAGATGTAAAATTTGAGTGTTAAGAACTGTTAACAAACAGAATTTACAGTTCAGTTAACAGCCACTGCATGTGAAAAGAGTTCTTAAAACGCTTCTCTTTAGAGCCAATCTGGTTCCCATGGAAACCAATGTGCGATCCTGGAAAACAAGGGAAGTTCTAAAATAATCACCATTATAAATACCCATTATATAAATGTAAATATAGGCAATTGAAATGATTTAGATGATTTTGAAATTGCATATCATTTCCCAAACCATAATGATTCCTTCAGAGTGGTTCTTGTCTGTCATATAAATACAGCATTTACAAAATTTTTAAAATTCTTATGATTTGCTTGTGAGACCATAATCGCCTTTTCAAACAAGTCTTGGGCATGCAAATATCGATCTTTGAGCATGGATTTTGGTGCAAGATGGGTCTTCAGGGAAGTGCTTTTACTTCACGATAGATTTACTTCTCATTATTAACTTTTGAATTTATATATATTTTCTTTATTCATTGCTAATTACAATAAGATCATATATTTTAAATTATAATATTTTTCTATTTTATCTATCCAGACGTCTCATTTTGCTAGGATAAAAAGATCCCCCCCAAAAAAATGATGTTTGCATTGGAATTAAAATTATTTTCAAGGCCCAGAATGAATGATTTGGATATAAAATACTCATGACATCATCAAATCTGTGAATCTGTGAGTTGAACCACACACACACACACACACACACACAAGTTAGGCCTTCTACTGTCTAATTTGTAACACGGAGGAGAAATTCCAAGAGTGAAACACAACCATCTCTAGTCCAGGTGCTGAAAAAAACATAGATTATAGGACAGTCTCATGGCATTGTTAACAGGACCAGTTTAAGACTCAGATATTGTCTTTACTGTGATTTAATCTACACCTTTACTCTATGAGTGTGTTCATGTGAGCAGCCACATTAGTTCAGTCCTTGTTAGAATGCAGAGTCTCAGGCCATCCACAGACTGAATGTGGAATCTGAACCTTAACAGGAGCATTGGGGATTTCAATGTATATTGTAGTTTCAAAGCATCGTCAGCCCACAATTTCTTCTCCAGAAACAGTTAGAAACATTATTCTAGAGCAGCGGTTCTCAACCTACAGGATGGGACCCCTTTGGGGATCAATCTTTTCACAGTGGTTGCCTGAGACTATCAGAAATCACCGATATTTGCAATGTGATTCATAAAAGCAGTAAAATTACATGAAGTAGCAATGAACATAATTTCACAGTTGGGGGTCACCACAACATGAAGAATGGTATGAAAAGGACTCAGTGTTACAGAGGAACCGATGGAGATGGACAGAACCCCTAGGGTGTGAACTCCACTAGGGTATGAACTCTACTCGGGTATGAACTCTACTCGGGTATGAACTCCACTAGGGTGTGAACTCCACTAGGGTGTGAACTCCACTAGGGTGTGAACTCTACAAGGGAAGCGATCCTTTCTTCAAATAACATTTGCAGTGCATGGGTCAGAGTAGAATCTATAAACAATTTTAAACAATTAATTTTCAAAAGGGATGTACATGCAAGTTTATGTTTTTAAAAGAAAATATTTTTAAATTTTATTTTTCATTGCCCCCACAAAACTATTAAATAAACACACACACACACACACACACACACACACACAAATCCAAATGAATTTAACATAAATGCAAGACCTGCCACATGAGCCTCCTAGAAAGAAACACAGAAGAACTGCATGCCATTGGTCTACTTGATGGTTTCTGGGTTATGACTCTGGGTTATAAGTATAAACAACAAAAGCTAAAACAGACAAGCAGTGCTCAAAACTCAAAAGTTCCTAAATTTCCGCAAAGTTAAGAAACTAACCAACACAATGAAAAGACAGCCTAGGAAACTGGAGAAAATATTTTCTAGCCAAATATCTGATGAGGTTAATATTCAACAGAAAGAAACTTCTAAAATTAAATAGTAAAACCCAGAATAGCCTAATTAAAATATAGGCAAATGTATTAGTCAGGGTTCTCTAGAGTTACAGAACGTATGGCCTGAATCTCTCCATCTCTGTCTCTTTCTCTCTGCTTCACTGTCTCTGTCTCTCTCTCCAAATATATATAGGATTTATTGGAATTACTTACAGGCTACAGTTCAGCTAATCCAACAATGGTTAACTGTGAATGAAAAGTCTAAGTAAGAATCTAGTAGTTGCTCAGTCCTGTTGTGTAATATTGCTTTAACTTTGTAAAGGTATGTTGCATTTGTTTAAGTATACAAAGTTGTATTATATTTGTTTCACCTTGTCTGCCTAAGGTACCTGATTGGTCTAACAAAAAGCTGAACGGCCAATAGAGGGATAAGTGGGGCTGGTCGGCAGAGAGAATAAGTAGTAAGAAAAATCTAGGCTTGAGAGGAGTGAGAGAGAGGAACTAGGAAGAAACAGAGGAAGCCCAGATAAAGAGCAGAAGGAGGGAGAACATGAGCAAGGAAGTCAGGACAGCGAGGGGTGCATCCACACACAGAGATGGTGAGACTGATCTAATGGGAGCTTACCAAGGCCAGCTGGACTGGGACTGATGGAGCTTGTGATCAAACCAGACTCTCTGAACGTGGCTGACAATGAGGACTGACTGAGAAGCCAAGGACAATGGCACTGAGTTTTGACTCTACTGCATGGATTGGCCTTGTGGGAGACTAGTCTCTTTTGGATGTTCACCTTCCTAGACCTGGATGGAGGGGGGAGGACTTTGGACTTCCCACAGGGCAGGAAACCCTGACTGCTCTTAGGACTGGAGAGGGAGGGGGAGAGGGAGTGGGGGGAGTGAGAGGGAAATGGGAGGAGGGGAGAAGGAGGAAATTTTAAATAAATAAATAAATAAACCCGGAGTTGTGGCTTTTAATAGCTAAACAGAGCTTTACAAAGATAGACTGCAACCTAGAACAGCAAGCCAAATGAAGCCTTTCTGGGTTGCTTTCTGCCAGGCTATTTTATCATAGCAATGGCAATGAAAGTGAGACAAAGTGTTTGTATTATTATTGAGGTTATTTCCTGGAAAATATGTTCCACTTTCTACTTTCTTTCTTTTTTGGTTTTTGAGACAGGGATTCCCCGTAGCTTTGGAGCCTGTCCTGGACCTACCTCTTATAGACCAGGCTGGCCTTGGACTCCAGAGATCTGCCTGCCTCTGCCTCCTGAGTGCTGGGATTAAAGGCGTGCGCCACCATTGTCTGGTTCTACTTTCTAATACACCTTTTCTGTAAAACAACATACCAACTTGTTCATATTTATAGCTACAAATCACTTATGATGATAAAACATATTTCCCAATTCCTTTTTTTTTTTTTTTTATTCTTCTGGCACTGGGGAGTGTGGCACTGAGATACATGGCAAGCCCTTTGTTTACTTTTTATTTGGAGACAGGTTTTCACTAAGTTGCCCAAGCTGATTCTGAGCTCATATTGTAGCCAAGGGTTCCTGCTGCCTCGGCTTCCTGAGTAGCAGGAATTACAGAGCTGGCTCTACTTTCATATTATCTAATAGAGTTGTGCTTGCACTTACAGCTATGCATGCTATATGTATAAGCCTAAGTGGGGCTAATCCATTATACAATGGAAAGATTAAATAACCCATATAAGGCCCCTTTCGGATGCCATAGAGTACAGATTTATGAGCTCTGCAAATACGTATTACCTTTGTGCTTAGTTTAGCTACTAAGTAGTCTCACATCTGCCGTTGTCTGTTTTGTCCATTTGCCACAATTAAAACAAACAAACAAAAAAAAATTATATCTTTTGAGCAACAATAAAACGTTCCATTATTTTTTAACTCGTTTATTTTTACAAACCTGTCAACTAATTACAGCACAAAGCCCCTACCACACACAATCCTAAGACCAAAAGGCACTGAAGAATGGAAAAGTTGGAGGACAGTCAGGATTGTCTAGCATATCTGAGTGACTTGGACTGCTCTGGTCCTGAGTTTCCTATATGTGAAGATATTTAACAGCACGCTCAGGGAATTGCTTTGAGTACTGGGATAATGTATGCTAAGGGCCTGGCACTAAAAAAATGTTACTTACGTTATATGCTTATATAAAATCTTTTTAGATTTCTTTTCTAGGTTATAAGCTAAGTAAAGGTCTCTAGTAATTTTATACACTGTTAATCTTTCGCAGTCAGACAATCTACATGAATAATAAAACGACGGAGCTGTAAAACAAAATCTATACAACAAAGCAGCTCCCTGTTCTGAGTCAGGGGGCCGGCTACACCCGCAGGAAGCGCTGGGCGGACCTCCGACATCCCAGCATTCCTCGCGCTGCCCCGTAGCTCTTCCTGGCTCGTCTCTATGGTTGCGCCGGCGTGGGCCGTCTCGGCGCCCGGCGAGTACTGAGGCTCCCAAGTTTGCGGCGGCTCTGAGCGCGGCGGAGCTCGGTGCGGCGCGATGTCCGAGAAGAAGCAGCCTGTCGACCTGGGTCTCCTGGAAGAGGACGACGAGTTCGAGGAGTTTCCCGCGGAAGGTAACTGCCAGGCCGCGCGCTGGGCCCCGGCCTGGAGTGGGGCGGCGGCGGCGGCGGACCTGCTCGCTGGGCCGGGGCGCGGTCCCGGCGCGGCCTCCGGGTGCGCGGGCCTCGGGGGCCCCCGGAGCGTCGCTTACGGTGCCCAGGGCTCTGTGTCTCGGCCCCGAGAGGGCCAGGTGCAGCCGGGCCCCACGCGGTCTCGTGTGTGGCCTTCTATCTCCAGCCCGGGACTCTGTTTCGCTTCGGCGTCACAGCCTCCCTTTGGTTGTAAACTTCTCCAAAATTCCACAGTTGTCCCAAGGCCGCCAGTGCTGCCTACTCCGAGGGCCGTGGCAATGAGCCCTGCGAAGTAGGAAGGCAGAGTCATGTGTGGTGTACTCAGTACAAATTTTGCCTTCGCGTCCGCATTCTAAATTAACTTCAAAACTAGAGGTGTTGTAGGTATAATACAGCTAGTGTTGGAGCAGGTTGCTATGATCTTGGGAATGTAAGTCCACGCTTTATTAGCACAGTTCCCCTGCCACAAATATAATTGCTGTATCTACTGTTATTCACGTAAGGAAACTGAAGTTTGGAACAATCGAGAAACAGGCCCAGTGTCAACACTATGGAAATGTGGAAGCTGAAATAGGGACCCTCTGTTGCCCCCAAAGCCCTTGCTTCGTGTGTTGAAGCTGTTACCCTTCTGTTTGCTAGATCTCTTTGCCCCCGTACGTTTTCGGAATTGGCTGATTGTTTGGAGTACGATTCCCAAATATTTACCTTGTTTTAAGGAAGTGAGTTCCTGTTGCCTTTCTGAAGAAAATTGTGGTCAGTTGCACATATGGGGCGTCAAGCAATTATCACCTGGCGAAAATTGTAGAAGTTACCCCATCATGATCTCCTGCTGCATAAAACCACATCACGGAAACATCTAGTCTGTTTACTTAGGATGCAGTGTTTTAGTTTTTATGGAAGAGAACATTAGTGTGCATATTACACAGCCTCATAAACCAATTCAGAGCACATTTCCTTCCAGTTAGGCGTCTACAATATATTATGGGATAGTTTACCTTTTGTTTTGGTAATGAATTTATCTGTTCAATGTGGTGTTTTGTTTTCAGGTTCATTAATAATCCTCTAACAGAGCTTGTGGTAGAATTGGCTAAGTGAGGGCAGGATCCAGTTCCCTCCAACTACTTACTTCAGGTGGCCTTTCTTCCTTATTCCATACGAGCTACACTGTTAGAATTTTGATTTACATTGTCTAGTCTAACGTCCCATCCTGAAGCAGTAGAAATCGACATATTCAAAAACAGACCCTTGCCATTTGATGGCCAACTCAAGATCCGAAACGTCTTTCTGACCAATATTCCCAGACAAATTTTTTCCCTTACATTTAGTGTACGTACCTATTTATAACAACTAGTTGAGAACTGGCTAAAGGATTTGAGAGGTAGCTGTCTCCTTATGATGTACTAGATTCTTTACAGCACTTCCGTCAACCGGGCCCACTTGCGAGCAGTAGTCTGCTCAGTGGTCACAGCTGGATTGTGATTAGACATTTCAGTAAAGTTAAGGCAAAGCTTATAAAGATAATAGGATGCGCAAGAGACTTCTGCGAGCATACACACCATGTTATGTATAGCTCTTAGGAATTTGTTGTCTCCGATGTATAGAATCTAGTTTGTTAAGTTATCCTTACATTTAGAATGAGAAATACTTTGAAATGCATTTGTTATGGAAGTGTATGTTTCTTCTCTAGTTACCAGTTAAATTGCCTTTCCTTACTTTTCATTAGGGAGATTTTGCTGTATATAAAGTTATCCCACTGGTGAAACCACTACATATTTACAAATGAAAACTTTTGATTACAAATTAAAAGAAAAATAAAACCTGTAAAAAAATCACCGAAGAGCTTTGTTTCTTTTAGAGTAAACATGATCTTTCATATTTTTCTGTCATCGTGGTATAGATTCTCTGTTGATGCTGAGGTGTACATGGAGCACAAGTCTTTGTTGGCATTCACATTGTCGGGAGAACGTTAGAAACACCTATTAGAATTTGGGTGTTTGGGTTTTCTCTTCAGTTATAAGTTCCCTGATTTGCGTTCATGTACTTTCCCTTTTGAAGATGTATTTGTCCGTGTGGTCGCCCTTTGTGACAAACACACCTACAGACGCCCTACTAGAATAAATGAGCACGGCTCTTGTTAATCCAGTCTGGAGTTCTCTCTGCCATCTGTAGGGCATTTTACTCCTGAGAACTTTGTCAGTCTGAGAGTTCCATAGTAGGGCTGACTATTCTCGGGGTTAACTTGTGTGTGGACTGTACCCAGAAGAGCCTGTCACAGATAAGTCATTGAACTATGTATTCATGGTTTGTTGGGAGTGTTGTTGCTACAGCTCCTCCCAGATAAGAACCTACTGGATGGGATTTCAATTTAGTGATCTTAAAGAAAGGTAAGAAAGCTTAAGTTAATGATTGTATGGAGGCCTCGTTGTTTTGGTGTGAAGTATAACATCTGGAGTGAGTCTCTGAAGGTACAAAGGAACACATGTTCCATTTATCCCTCCAGTTCCCTTGTTTAGTCTGAATCTGTTAAATTGGCAATTCCTTACAATTATTCTAATTGGTGGGTATGTACTATAATGGCCATTAAGTAGGAGCTGTTACAAAATCATGTTTAGAATCTTTGTGGAGTGCAGTCTACACAATTTCTAGTTGTTTATGCTAAGTGAAAATAGACTATAAGAAAGCCATTCAAATTCAAAATTCTGGTAAGACTGGTTTTAATATATTTCTGGAGGCCTTCACAAGGTTACAGGTTTTTTGTTTTTTTTTTTGGTTTTTCGAGACAGGGTTTCTCTGTGGCTTTGGAGCCTGTCCTGGAACTAGCTCTGTAGACCAGGCTGGTCTCGAACTCACAGAGATCCGCCTGCCTCTGCCTCCCGAGTGCTGGGATTAAAGGCGTGCGCCACCATCGCCCGGCTACAAGGTTACAGTTTTAAACCCAGCTAACAACTTTGTCTACAGAACATTTCAAATTTCATTCATCATGCACTTAGGTTGGAGATTATAGAATGAGTTATAAAATTGAAGTTGTTGTATGATTGAGACTTCTAACTACTTTTTCCTTGTTGGACAGATATTGAAAAGATTTTAAAGTATTGTTAATTTCTTTTTATTGACATTTAGAAGTGGATGGTGAAAGAAGGAAGAAGCAGTGGTTGTTCAGATTATTTTATTTATTCTCGTTTTTCCTTTTCCAGAACTAAGATATTTTGTCTTGCTTTTTTAGAATATTTAAGCAAAATTGCCTCAAAGAGCAGTAGGATTAGCAAGAGTTCTGCTGTGTTAACTATTGCTTAATTTTTCTATGATCAGTGATACTCATGTCACTGAAATATTAGCAATACACAACTACCCACCTCTTCATCTTATCCTATTAAATTCCTTGATAAGACCTTGGTATTTGCTAGAGAATGGCGAGAATCTGCTGAGTCATACAGTGGGCTGGTGATCCCTGAAGCTGCTGCTGGGTAACTAAGGCCCTCTCACTGGTGTCTGACAAAGTAAGGCATCCTGTAGAGGTCTCCATATCTGGTGCGTGTTTTAGTGTATCATATTCACATGACTTGCAGAGGTAAAAATGGCCAGCATTTTGTGAGTGGGAGCCAAGGAATTTAAATTAACATAGATGTATTTAAGAAAGACTTGTCATAAGAACAGTACCATTAAAATATTATGAACATTGGATACTAACTACACTAAAGTAATATCAGAAAGATTTTTTAGATGAATATAGGAGGAAGACAGAACAATTGTTGACTACTTTTCATACTCTGTGAGTTGGTTTATGTAGTACCAAAGGGGACTTTGCTGATAACAGTTATTAAATATAATGTAGTCATATAAACAAGATCATCCAACATTTAAGTTAGTTATATGGTGTTGGTATGAAATGAAAATTTGTTTCACTGAAACTGTAAAAGAAGATACCTAATCTACATGGGAAGGTACCTACTGAATGTCTGTTTTTCGAAATTGTATTCAAGGAAGTAAATTTTTGAATTGCATTAATAGCTGTTTGTGGGGGAGGGACATTAAAACCATGTAAATGTTAATTCCAATCCCCAAGTCTTTAATGCATTTATATGCTTATTTTCTCATTTATTTGTATTACTGTGTGCAGATGGACTCTTAATTCAATGAATTATAATTTATTACTTCTATTCTTAACCGCTGGTTGTCCCACAGTTGAATATGGAAAACTCCTTCAAGCTTGTTTTTGTGTGATTTTTGACACGTCCCCATCGTTTTCCCTGATTTTGCTAGTATTTGACACAGATATTTGAAGCTAGTCTTGTATTTTCCTATTTTGTTTGGAATGGAGAACAGAATCTTGATTCCATTTATGATACTGTTTTTAGGGTGTTATTGCTCTCAGTGAAAGGGAACTAGAGAACGTGCTGTGGTGTGTGTGTGTGTGTGTGTGTGTGTGTGTGTGTGTGTGTGTAAAACATCAAGTTCACATAGATCTCTCCACTTGGAATTCAGAACCACAGATTCCCTACTGCTTTTTTCCTTTTCAACATTTATAACTTCTCTAGTAACTTAACACCTGGCTACCATATCTTAAATGTGTTGTCTATTTATTTATTCTCTTTTCTGTTGGCCTGTCAAGTTCTGCCCACCTTATTTGGGCTTAGCATTCTGTATGCCAGGGTACTCTCTCCTCCTCACTCCTTCATTCTCTCCAGGCTGTGTCACACCGACCACATCCTGCCCCATCAGACAGATGTTGTCTTTCATTAGCTTGGCACCTCATCCAAAACTAGGTGTACTTTAAATGTAAACATATTCTCAAATTTTCTTTGAGAAGAGTTATGTGATATATATTACCATTTACAACTTGCAGTAGGTATTAAACATTTTAGTCCTTGTCAGTCTGATGGATGGAGCTGAGATATCATTTTTATTATGGGTCAGTTGCATTTTGTGTGTGTATGTTTGTACAT